TATGGTCCTAGGGATGATGTTCGCTCATTTGAGGGATATGACATAAATGGGTACACATTTTGGACTGAGCGTCAAGATTTGAAATCGTCCTCGACCCAAAACAGTGGTGTAACAGTTGTGGCATCGTCAAGGGAGTTTGCAAGTGCTAAGGATAAATCACCCGTCGATGCAGAGTTGTCATACTACAGTCGAATTCAAGAAATATGGGAGCTTGATTATTGTGACTTCACGATTGCTCTTTTCCGGTGTAAGTGGGTTGATAATATCAAGCGTAACGTCAAATTTGATGACTTTACTCTTGTAGATCTTGGCAACCTTAATGATAGTGTGGAATCGTTCATCCTTGCATCTCAACCTAAGCAGGTGTTTTACGTATCTGACCCTGCCGACTCAAAATGGTCTATTGTGCTAGCCAGCAAAAGAATAATCCTTGGCGTTGGAGATGTCGAGGATGAGGAAGAATATGATGCCTTTGATGACTCGGCACCTTTCACCGTTCCTAGACCTGCTGTGCCAAATGAGATAGACGACCAAGCCAATTACATGAGATCCGACCACGATGAAGGAATATTAGATTGAGGTACTGTATATTTTCTGTTAGTTTGAATTGCAGGCGTAGAAAGAATAAAAAAATCACATTTTAGGTAATAATGAATGAAATTGTTGAATTACTTGCCCATTTTTCTTATATTCTTTTAAATGAATAAAGTAACTTGCATCACCATTTTCAGAGTTTATTTGTATTATAATTCAGCAATTTATATATGATTATAAGTTTACCTTACAATTCAGCAGCTAATAACGTGTTATGTTTGTAATGACAGGTTTTAACATCTAATGGCGGACGATCGATTCCGTGTTCGAGTTGAGGATGTTGAATCTAACTCAGATGATTTATCTAATGATGGGGACCAGTCGTATGATGTGAACAAGGAAACTGATTTGGGTGAGCCAGAAGATCAGGCGCAAGATGTATTGGAGTGAATGATAGATGACTTTGAAATTGCAGCTGAGCAAGCGCCTCCAATCGATAATGCCATTGTGGAGCCATTTCGTGAGGATCAAAGTGGAGCGGGGGTGCAGGCACCAGCGAAGAAAAAGCAGAGGGGTCCGACGACAACTTTCAAGAAACCTGTTGGTCCTATGGTCTTGGAGTATGACAGGGTAGGGCAACCCTCAGGTAAATGGCGTCGTCAGTATGCTGGTCAAGTTGGGATTTGTGCGCACAAAATCCCCATTACGCTTCGTATGAGCGACGTACCTACAGGCTTGATTGACACGTTTTGGAATGATACCAGGGTAAGTTTGATTTAATGTGATTATTTATAAACAATTTCAATTTATTATTATGTAATGGGCAAACCAATAATGTTTTTTATTTGTGCTTGCAGAGTCTATTTAACATTCCAAATGAGTACGCCAAGCGAAGGGTGTTTGAATCCTTACTTGCGGCAAGATTCAGAAGCTTCAAGTGTAACTTAGTTCGTCGGTTTATCACAAAGAAACTTGTGAGGAAACCAAAGAACAAGAAAGGGGGTGGCAGTGATGATGATGTCATCGATGAAGAGAAACTCCCTTGGCAAATATGGCCTAGCATATCGAAGGATGATTGGGAGGCTTTCGTTCATCAAAAATGTAAAAAAGAAGAAATTGTAAGTTTAAAGAACTCTGATGAAAATTGTGTTGTAATTTATCGTCTTTTTTATTAGTAATGAAACTAACATATATATCTTTTTATGTAGGAAATGAGGGAGCAGAATTCCAGGAATGCATTGCAAAAGCAATACCACCATCATATGGGAGCAATGACGTATGATGAATGGAGGGATACGTGGATGAGTGAAGGATTATACCCCACTGCGCTTCTAGGGTCCTCCACAGCGCCGTCAGACTCCACGACCAGTACTTTGGTGAGTCGTGCTGGGGATTTCTTTTGCTCTATGCATTCGCGGGACAAGAAGACCGGAAAATGGTCCATCAAGGCTCCGGAAACCAAAGAAATGATAGATAAGCTAGTAAGCAACTATGAACTAGTGAACTAACTTATTCATTTGCATGTATATCACTTTATATAAACACGGACTTCATGTTGCCATTTTGTTTTTGCTACAGCTTGAGTACACTGGAGAGCTTGTTGAAGGCAAGCTCGTCCCGACGGTAGAGAAGGACCCCTTCACCTTGGCTATAGGAAAGCCCTACCATCCGGGACGGGTATTAGGTGCTGGGGGGAGCTTGCTAGGATGGGAGAAGGTAATGGGTCCCGAATATACCAAATCTGGAAGATCCCGAGCAAGTGTGAACTCGCCACAGAACTTCGATACCACAGTGGTATCAATTAAAGAACAAGTGCGCAATGAGATGCGCGAAGAGTTCAATGCATGGGCAAAGCAAATGAATTTGCCGACCTTGCCCTTTTCCTCGACAACACCGGCCGACGCAAGTAGCCACCCACGAAGAGAAGGAGAACAGGAGGTAAATGATTAGAATTCAACTCTATAAGTTTTGATATGCTGAGTTACGTGGGTACGGTTCTAATTAATGTTTCACTATCAATACACTATTGCAGATTGATACTCCTTCACATGCGAACTCAAGGGGGCTTGATACTCCGACACCTCATCACTTTCCTATTCTACAGGTGATTTTGTGCTTACTTGTTTGGATAATGATATTTGTTTTTGGATTGTGTTGTGAAATGGTTAAGTTGGCTGTGAAATGGTGTTTCTTCGCTGTGTTGAGTAGTTTGTGTTGCTTTAATTTGTTGATGTGATGTGTTGTTGTTGTCTTCTTCTCCTTCTCCTCCTCCTTCTCCTTCTCTTTCTTCTCCTTCTCCTTCTCCTCCTCCTCCTTCTCTTTCTTCTCCTTCTCCTCCTCCTCCTCCTCCTCCTCCTCCTCCTCCTCCTCCTCCTCCTCCTTCTTCTCCTTCTCCTCCTCCTCCTCCTTCTCATTCTTCTCCTTCTCCTTCTCTTTCTTCTCCTTCTCCTTCTCTCCCTTCTCCTTCTCTTTCTTCTCCTTCTCCTTCTTCTCCTTCTCCTTCTCCTTCTCTTTCTTCTCCTTCTCCTTCTCTTTCTTCTCCTTCTCCTTCTCTTTCTTCTCCTTCTCCTCCTTCTCCTTCTCCTCCTCCTCCTCCTCCTCCTTCTCTTTCTTCTCGAGGAGGCTGCAGCACAGCGAGGAGGCTGCTGTGCAGCACTGCAGCAGCACTACAGCAGCTGTGCAACCTCCTCGCTGTGCACACGCTGCCCTTCCCGCCCGGTTTTCGGTTTTTTTTTTTTTTTTGCACTTGTTTTGTTTTTTTTTTTTTTTTTTTTTTTTTTGCGCCTAAGATACTAAGTTATGAATATTTGTGGCTTGAAACAACCTAAAAAAAGCAATTTCACAAGTTTTAGGTTCATTTAGAGTGTTTACGGCTCGAAATGGCCTAAATGAGTTCTAACTTGCCCATTTTCCATGTTTTTTGCTCAATTCTTGATTTAACTCCTATGTTACACCTAATATGCTTAGCTATGAATATTTGTGGCTTGAAACAACCTAAAAAAAGAAATTTCACAAGTTTTAGGTTCATTTAGAGTGTTTTCGGCTCGAAATGGCCTAAATGAGTTCTAACTTGCCCATTTTCCATGTTTTTTGCTCAATTCTTGATTTAACTCCTATATTACACCTAATATGCTTAGATATGAATATTTGTGGCTTGAAACAACCTAAAAAAAGCAATTTCACAAGTTTTAGGTTCATTTAGAGTGTTTTCGGCTCGAAATGGCCTAAATGAGTTCTAACTTGCCCATTTTCCATGTTTTTTTGCTCAAGTCTTGATTTAACTCCTATATTACACCTAATATACTTAGTTATGAATATTTGTGGCTTGAAACAACCTAAAAAAAGCAATTTCACAAGTTTTAGGTTCATTTAGAGTGTTTTCGGCTCGAAATGGCCTAAATGAGTTCTAACTTGCCCATTTTCCATGTTTTTTGCTCAAGTCTTGATTTAACTCCTATATTACACCTAATATACTTAGTTATGAATATTTAAATGAAGTATCTTCCTAATTGGTGCAGGAAGAGACCCGTTGTGAACTTCTTCACCCGGGGGAATCATATGACGGACCTTTGAAAGTTGTTGCCTATGGTAGTGCACAACCGGCCGAACAAGGCACGGTCCATCTTCGAGCTCTTATGCCTGAGCATTATTCTGTCGGGATCCATTCTGTGGTTCCTGGGTTCGAGGAGATCTTAATACCTGTGCCCGTGGAGGAGGATGAGTTCACTACACTCTGGGCAGCAAAAGGTAGTTTTGTGCAATGGCCATCTGCTTGGATACGGTTGATGAACCAGGTAATTAAGATTTAGATTTCACGCTTTAATATTTTCTTCCCAAGAGTTGGATGGAAATCTTTTCTAACCATTTGTGTGATCTGTCTTATTAGCCATCGAGGAAAAACCAAACGCCAAAGAAGAGGGTGGAGGGGCCAAAGAACAGGAGTGAACATGGCTCGGTGAGTGGAAAGGCGTCGATGAAGAGCCCTTCACGAGGTTCAGCTACGCAAGCTACTCCATTAGTTGAAGACACGGTGCTTCAATCGCTATCTCAGGAGTTAGCTTATTTGCACGACCGTGTTTGCGTGTTGCCTAATGACAGCCCCATCCAAATCCAACTTCCTAAGGAAATGTTCCACTACGATGATGATGCAACGGCATGGCTATTCAAAGAAGATGTGAAGGAATTTCTAAGTGGTGCAATGCTTAACATTTCCCTCATTCAAATATCCATGAGGTAATTCAACTGATACTCAATTTATATTATTCAGTTTTGTGGTGTTTGTCGTTTGGTTTTCGATTAACGTTGTGATATCATGCATGCAGAGCACTCCAGGAGCAAATATGGGAGCTTGAATCTCCTTGTCAAGTTGGGTGGTTGTGCTCTGAGTAGATGTCCACTGCTAGAATCTTAGGCAACTCCGCTGACGTGTTGTACTATGCTGAACGGGGTATCAGGTAATCAGTGAGTGCGGGAGACAAGTTCATATTCGTCCCATACTATGAGGAGTACGTTTGATTATGCTAGTCAAGTTCGTTTGTTTTCCCAGTTTATTTGTTATAATAGGCTAACTATTGATTTGTTTGTCTCGTGTGTAGTTATCATTGGACCCTACTTGTGATTTGTGTTTCCAGTAACACAATCTTCTACTTTGATTCTGCTCGGTTACCTCAAGTAAGAAAGCGCCTCGTGAGGTCCATACTACAAAAGTAAGCATCTCGTTTGTTTCACTTCTGATTATTCATTTTTCATATCTTAACTCATATGTATTGATTATACTAGTCAAATTTGAACTTATTACTTTGATTTTTTGTAGTACCATGAAGAAGATAAATCCTCGATCTCCTCGAGGTCCTACATGAAAAGCACCCAAGGTAATTCACCAATGATGTTGTGATTTTCTTACTTTACAATGCTTAAGATGTTGCTTATTTGCTATGCATTTTGATTCATGTGCTTTGTTCCTCATTCTAGTGCGCACAACAGGAAAACGGAGTTGACTATGGCCTATACGTGATGAGATTCATGTATGACATAGTGATGAGTCATTGAACAGACACACGTCAGCTTGAAGAGGTATGCCATTTTGGTTGAAATTGCGTCCCAAAACCACTTACTTGCTCTTTTCTTGTAATCCCAAGCATTAGTCACCTATAACTAAGTGATAGTGACATGTTTCAACTAGTTATGAGTTCAATAGTCATGAATTGTAGAAAATAGGCATCCTAGTAGCCAAAATGGCCTTACTTGAGCCATTTTGGTTGAAATTGCGTCCCATAACTTCTTACTTGCTCTTTTCTTGTAATCTCAAGCATTATTCACCTATAACTAAGTGATAATGACATTTTTTAACTAGTTATGAGTTCAATAGACCAAAAATATAGAAAATAGGCATCCTAGTAGCCAAAATGGCCTTACTTGAGCCATTTTGCTTGAAATTGCGTCCTAAAACCACTTACTTGCTCTTTTCTTGTAATCTCAAAAATTAGTCACCTATAACTAAGTTATGATAACATGTTTTAACTAGTTATGAGTGTAATAGACAAGAATTGTAGAAAATAGGCATCCTAGTAGCCAAAATAGCCTTACTTGAGCCATTTTTTTGAAATTGCGTCCCAAAACTACTTACTTGCTCTTTTCTTGTAATCTCAAACATTAGTCACCTATAACTAAGTGATAATGACATGTTTTAACTAGTTACGAGATCAATAAACAAGAATTGTAGAAAATAGGCATCCTAGTAGCCAAAATGGCCTTACTTGAACCATTTTGCTTGAAATTGCGTCCCAAAACCACTTACTTGCTCTTTTCTTGTAATCTCAAGCATTAGTCACCTATAACTAAGTTCTAATGACATTTTTTAACTAGTTACGAGTTCAATAGATATGAATTGTAGAAAATAGGCATCCTAGTAGCCAAAATGGCCTTACTTGAGCCATTTTGGTTGAAATTGCGTCCCATAACCTCTTACTTGCTCTTTTCTTGTAATCTCAAGCATTATTCACCTATTACTAAGTGATAATGACATGTTTTAACTATTTATGAGTTCAATAGACAAGAAATATAGAAAATAGGCATCCTAGTAGCCAAAATGGCCTTACTTGAGCCATTTTGGTTGAAATTGCGTCCCAAAACCACTTACTTGCTCTTTTCTTGTAATCTCAAACATTAGTCATCTATAACTAAGTGATAATGATATGTTTTCACTAGTTATGAGTTCAATAGACAAGAATTGTAGAAAATAGGCATCCTAGTAGCCAAAATGGCCTTACTTGAGCCATTTTGTTTGAAATTGCGTCTCAAACCCACTTACTTGCTCTTTTCTTGTAATCTCAAGAATTATTCACCTATAACTAAGTGATAATGACATGTTTTAACTAGTTATGAGTTCAATAGACAAGAAATATAGAAAATAGGCATCCTAGTAGCCAAAATGGCCTTACTTGAGCCATTTTGCTTGAAATTGCGTCCCAAAACCACTTACTTGCTCTTTTCTTGTAATCTCAAGCATTATTCACCTATAACTAAGTGATAATGACATGTTTTAACTAGTTATGAGTTCAATAGACATGAATTGTAGAAAATAGGCATCCTAGTAGCCAAAATGGCCTTACTTGAGCCATTTTGCTTGAAATTGCGTCCCAAAACAACTTACTTGCTCTTTTCATGTAATCTCAAGAATTATTCACCTATAAATAAATGATAATGACATATTTTAACTAGTTATGAGTTCAATAGACATGAAATGTAGAAAATAGGCATCCTAGTAGCCAAAATGGCCTTACTTGAGCCATTTTGGTTGAAATTGCGTCCCATAACCTCTTACTTGCTCTTTTCTTGTAATCTCAAGAATTTGTCACCTATAACTAAGTGATAATGACATGTTTTAACTAGTTATGAGTTCAATAGACATGAATTGTAGAAAATAGGTATCCTAGTAGCCAAAATAGCCTTACTTGAGCCATTTTGGTTGAAATTGCGTCCTATAACCTCTTACTTGCTCTTTTCTTGTAATCTCAAGCATTAGTCACCTATAACTAAGTGATAATGACATGTTTTAACTAATTATGAGTTCAATAGACATGAATTGTAGAAAATAGGCATCCTAGTAGCCAAAATGGTCTTACTTGAGCCATTTTGGTTGAAATTGCGTCCCATAACCTCTTACTTGCTCTTTTCTTTTAATCTCAAGCATTAGTCACCTATAACTAAGTGATAATGACATGTTTTAACTAGTTATGAGTTCAATAGACATGAATTGCAGAAAATAGGCATCCTAGTAGCCAAAATGGCCTTACTTTAGCCATTTTGGTTGAAATTGCGTCCCATAACCTCTTACTTGCTCTTTTCTTTTAATCTCAAGCATTAGTCACCTATAACTAAGTGATAATGACATGTTTTAACTAGTTATGAGTTCAATAGACAAGAAATATAGAAAATAGGCATCCTATTAGCCAAAATGGCCATACTTGAGCCATTTTGCTTTAAATTGCGTCCCAAAACCACTTACTTGCTCTTTTCTTGTAATCTCAAGCATTATTCACCTATAACTAAGTTATAATGACATGTTTTACCTAGTTATGAGTTCAATAGACAAGAAATATACAAAATAGGCATCCTAGTAGCCAAAATGGCCTTACTTGAGCCATTTTGCTTGAAATTGCGTCCCAAAACCACTTACTTGCTCTTTTCTTGTAATCTCAAGAATTTGTCACCTATAACTAAGTGATAATGACATGTTTTAACTAGGTATGAGTTCAATAGACATGAATTGTAGAAAATAGGCATCCTAGTAGCCAAAATAGCCTTACTTGAGCCATTTTGGTTGAAATTGCGTCCTATAACCTCTTACTTGCTCTTTTCTTGTAATCTCAAGCATTAGTCACCTATAACTAAGTGATAATGACATGTTTTAACTAATTATGAGTTCAATAGACATGAATTGTAGAAAATAGGCATCCTAGTAGCCAAAATGGTCTTACTTGAGCCATTTTGGTTGAAATTGCGTCCCATAACCTCTTACTTGCTCTTTTCTTTTAATCTCAAGCATTAGTCACCTATAACTAAGTGATAATGACATGTTTTAACTAGTTATGAGTTCAATAGACATGAATTGTAGAAAATTGGCATCCTAGTAGCCAAAATGGCCTTACTTGAGCCATTTTGCTTGAAATTGCGTCCCAAAACAACTTACTTGCTCTTTTCATGTAATCTCAAGAATTATTAACCTATAAATAAGTGATAATGACATGTTTTAACTAGTTATGAGTTCAATAGACAAGAATTGTAGAAAATAGACATCCTAGTAGCCAAAATGGCCTTACTTGAGCCATTTTGCTTGAAATTGCGTCCCAAAACAACTTACTTGCTCTTTTATTGTAATCTCAAACATTAGTCACCTATAACTAAGTGATAATGACATGTTTTAACTAGTTATGAGTTCAATAAACAAGAATTGTAGAAAATAGGCATCCTAGTAGCCAAAATGGCCTGACTTGAGCCATTTTGCTTGAAATTGCGTCCCAAAACCACTTACTTGCTCTTTTCTTGTAATCTCAAGCATTAGTCACCTATAACTAAGTTCTAATGACATGTTTTAACTAGTTATGAGTTCAATAGACATGAATTGTAGAAAATAGGCATCCTAGTAGCCAAAATGGCCTTACTTGAGCCATTTTGGTTGAAATTGCGTCCCATAACCTCTTACTTGCTCTTTTCTTGTAATCTCAAGCATTATTCACCTATTACTAAGTGATAATGACATGTTTTAACTATTTATGAGTTCAATAGACAAGAAATATAGAAAATAGGCATCCTATTAGCCAAAATGGCCTGACTTGAGCCATTTTGCTTGAAATTGCGTCCCAAAACCACTTACTTGCTCTTTTCTTGTAATCTCAAGCATTAGTAACCTATAACTAAGTTCTAATGACATGTTTTAACTAGTTATGAGTTCAATAGACATAAATTGTAGAAAATAGGCATCCTAGTAGCCAAAATGGCCTTACTTGAGTCATTTTGGTTGAAATTGCGTCCCATAACCTCTTACTTGCTCTTTTCTTGTAATCTCAAGCATTACTCACCTATTACTAAGTGATAATGACATTTTTTAACTATTTATGAGTTCAATAGACAAGAAATATAGAAAATAGGCATCCTAGTAGCCAAAATGACCTTACTTGAGCCATTTTGCTTGAAATTGCGTCCCAAAACCACTTACTTGCTCTTTTCTTGTAATCTCAAGCATTAGTCACCTATAACTAAGTGATAATGGCATGTTTTAACTAGTAATGAGTTCAATAGACATGAATTGTAGAAAATAGGCATCCTAGTAGCCAAAATGGCCTTACTTGAGCCATTTTGGTTGAAATTGCGTCCCATAACCTCTTACTTGCTCTTTTCTTGTAATCTCAAGAATTAGTCACCTATAACTAAGTGATAATGACATTTGTTAACTAGTTATGAGTTCAATAGACAAGAATTGTAGAAAATAGGCATCCTAGTAGCCAAAATGGCCTTACTTGAGCCATTTTGCTTGAAATTGCGTCCCAAAACAATTTACTTGCTCTTTTCATGTAATCTCAAGAATTATTCACCTATAAATAAGTGATAATGACATGTTTTAACTAGTTATGAGTTCAATAGACATGAATTGTAGAAAATAGGCATCCTAGTAGCCAAATGGCCTTACTTGAGCCATTTTGGTTGAAATTGCGTCCCATAACCTCTTACTTGCTCTTTTCTTGTAATATCAAGCATTTTTCACCTATAACTAAGTGATAATGACATGTTTTAACTAGTTATGAGTTCAATAGACATGAATTGTAGAAAATAGGCATCCTAGTAGCCAA